ATGGACAGTTAAGAAAGATGATAGGAAGAAAACCAAGGCATTTGAGATCAATATGGTGTTGGAGAAGAGTGCTGAGGATGCCATGGACGGCCAAAAGGACCAACAAATGGGTCCTAGAGCAGATCAAGCCAGAAACTTCCCTGGAAGCCAAGATGACAAGACTTAGACTGTCGTACTTTGGACACATCATGAGAAGGGAGGACTCTTTGGAAAAGACAGTAATGCTGGAGAAGATGGAGGGAAGTAGGAAAAGAGGAAGACCACATGGCAGATGGAGGGACTCTATTATTAAAGAGGATTAATGAAGGGTTTGCAGGACTTAAGAGCAGAGCAATGGAGGACAGAGGGTCTTCTTGGAGAGGTCTCATCCATAGGGCTGCCATGGGTCGAGAAAGAATGGAGGACAGTTAACAATAATAAGAAATGATGAGAGACCTCCATGTTCCTCTGTTATCAACAGCTCTGCTCAGGTCTTGCAAACTCAGGGCTGTGACTTACAAGCAACGTGGTCTCCTTCTTTTCCTATTGCCCCCACCTTACCAGGCATTGTTATCTTAAACACAACAACAACAACAACAATTGTGTTGTTGCCAACATTAAATGTGAGGAGTGACAAGATTGTAAACAGCCCCCATGACTGTTGCTTTGCTTATATAACAATTCTGTCACTTGGCAATAGCAGTGTCATTTTTAAAGTAACATGGAAGGCTCCCCCTCCTATGGAATTCTGGTATTGGTAGTTTTAATCTCTTTTTAACAACATTTTTCATAAATGGTCCCCTGAAGAGTTTTGTGAGGTAAAGCCAGAGCAGGCTGCTACGCGCATGCGCCCAGGCTCAGCGACGGATAACGGTGAGCAGGGGATTAAACGCTGGTTAGAACCCCGTTGCCAGGGCAGCCCCATCCCACCCAGGAGCTCTTCTACAAGAACCTTCCTCTTCACCAATCCCTGCCTCGCTTTCTCCTTTCCTCGACGCTCATTGGCCTGTGGGGCTGCTACTCCATGGCGCAGTCAGGAGCCTTCGGCTTACGTTCCAGCCAATGAGCAGCCGGAGCCGGGGTGCTGGGCTTCGCCTACCGGACTGGGAGAAGATGGACAAGCGTTTTGTCTCCCGCTGGCCAATCAGGGTCGAGAGTGAGGGCTTGTGGGCGGGCCTTAGTGTCATCCTTCTCCTTCTCCGTTCCCCCTCAGCTCCATCTGGCTGGATCGGGATCGAGAGGCTGCGGCTGGTCCTGGAAGCCGGTGAGGAGGGAGAGGGGCCGGGGAAAGGCTCTGAGGCCGTCAGGAGAGGCGCTTGGGAAGCCTTGGAGGGATGGAAGCTTGTGGGCTCCCTTCCCTGAGGGCCAAGATGCTTCTCTCTCAGCCAGACCTCTTTTGGGGAGCATCCACACTGCAGAATTGATCCGCTTCGACACCGCTTTAACTGCCGTGGCTCCGCGCTATGGAAACCCTGGGATTTGTAGTTTGCTGTGGCCACAGGGAGGGGGGGTCAGGATGTCACCAAAACTACAAATCCCATGAGTCCATAGGATGGGGAGCCTGTGGCAGTTAAAGCGGTGGTGCATCATTTCTGCAGTGCAGGTGTAACCTTAAAGTCGTCATTTCTTTTTTTTTTTCCCCTTGTAATTTGAATCCATTGATTCATGTTCTAGGCTGCATCTACACTGCAGGATTAATCCACTTCGACACCGCTTTAACTGCCATGGCTCCTTCTTATGAGATCCTGGGATCTGTAGTTTGCTGTGCTGCTTCGGAGAGATAAGATGAGCAGATATTCAGCAAATCTGGGATTCAGCTTATTTTAAATTTTAATCATAATTGTCAGTCATTTTTAATATAATAAATAATAATAATAATAATAATTTTTATCCCGCTCCTCTGCGTAACGCAACCGGGGTGCCTTACAACATTAATCATTAATTACAGCATTCATCATATATATATAGATTAAAATTGATTCAGGACTGATGATTAACTATGTCGTTGTTTAATACTGTTTTAAGGGGGGGGGATATGCTTTTACTGTAATTGTTTTATGCTGTAAACCGCCTGGATTGGGCAACCATTGGGTGATATATAAATAAATTTTATTATTATTATTATTATTATTATTATGCATGCCAAAGTAAGAGAGAGAAAACAAATACAGTAGGGATTGTTATGCAAGTGCATCCTGTAATGTGTGGCTGGAGAATATGGGCAATGTCTTAATTTAACTGAGAAACGCCTGGCAAAATTAACTGAAATCGAACCTTCTAGTTGGCATTTAGGTAAGATCCAATCTTCTTCACACTTCCTGACATGTCATGAATTTCTTGACTTCTCCTTTTTTGACTGTTTTGAAAGTCTGGCGATGTTAATGGCTGAAGGGAGAGGATAAGGAAGGTTGTAAGGGGGGAGTTTTGGGGGCGAAGGGAATGCCCTGGATCCGTTCTGCTCACAATGGTGGTCCATGGACTGATACTGGTATCTGAGACTTTGGCTGCCAGGAAAGAAAAATGTAATTTTAGCCAGTGGGCACAAATATAATACAATCGTCTCTCCACATTCACTGGGGTTAGGGGCACAGGACCCCCGTGAATGTGGAAAAAACGCAAACAACAAAAAATACTGTTTTTACCTCTCTACGTATCTCTAGGTCCTCCAGTGCAACTCTGTGGTCAACATCTGCCAGACATTGACCATAGACTTGTGCTGGAGGAGCTCCAAATGCCTAGCGGAGTCTTCTCTCTAGGAATCTCTAGGCCCTTCAGTGCAACCTTTGATTAAAGTTGGCCATAGACTTGTGCTGAAGGACCTAGATATTCCTAGAGAGAACATATTAATAAAATCCGTGAATAATCAAATCCACAAAAGTCCAAGCCACAAATGTGGAGGGATGAGTGTACTGGTCCCTCATACATTGGGGATGGTTGAGAAACCAGCTGCTGGTTCCTCACATCCAATAGCTTGGGAAACTCTGTCCTATATCCATGTGGCAGTCTGATTGAGATCCTTTGAGATCTTGAATAAGGATCCCATGATGAAGTGTGAAGCAGTTTAGGGCTTTGGGTGTCAGAGAGTCCGAAGACTGCAATGCAATAAAAGGGTGGGAGAGGCTGAGATCTCTATGGTCAGCAAGAAGGACAAGGTTTCATTTTTTAAAAAATCGTAATAGATATATGAATAAACATAAGGATGCTCTGCGGTGATCGGTGTTATGGGAATGGAGATGGGTAGGGTGATGTGGGGTTCAGTGTTGGCTAGAATGATCAAGAAAGAGTTGGGTTACACCATTATAGCACCCTGAAGAACACAATTGATCTTGCCTGATTTCAAATGCTTAGCAGGGTCAGTACAGTTGGCCTTCCCTTTTGCAGCTTTGGCTTTTGCATATTTGATTATTTGCGGATTAATATGTTCTCTCTAGGAACTTCTAGGTCCTCCAGTTCAACTCTGCCAGAGATTGACCATAGAGTTGTGCTGGAGAACCTAGAAGTCCCTAGAGGAAACACTTCTCTAGGCATTTGTGGGTCCTCCAACATGATTCTATGATCAACTTCTACAGATGTTGACCACAGAATTGCACTGGGAGACCTGGAGATTCCTAGAGAGATGCTCTTTTAGGTGAAAAGAATAGTGTTTGTTTTTTTTAATTTGCGGTTTTCCCACATTCCTGAGGGTCCTTCACCCCTAACCTCAGTGAATGTGGAGGGACCACTGAATAGGAGACCCCCTGAGATCTCTAGGTAGGTTTAGGAAAAGATCTATAGTCAGCACTCCACATTTGTGACTTTGACTTTTGCAGATTTGAGTGTTCACGGATCTGATTAATATCTTCTCTATAGGAATTTCTAGGTCCTCCAGTGCAACTCTATGGGCAACTTTCACCAGATGTTCAACTGGAGGACCTAAAAATTCCTACAGAGAATACTTCTCTAAGCATTTCTAGGTCCTCCAGCACAATTATTTGGTCAACTTCCAGCAGTGTTGATCGCAGAATTGCGTTGGAAAACAGAGAGATTCCTAGAGAGGTATTCTTTCAGATTAAAAGAACCTAGTGTTTCTTTATTTGCAGTTTTTCCACTTTCACAGCGGTCCTGCATCCCTAACCCCAGCAAATGTGGAGGACCCACTGTAATCTGCAAGTAACCAAGCTAGATGGTTAGGGGTGAAGGATCCTCAGGCATGTGGGAAAGACCCTCTGCCAGTCACAAATGATGATACCAAGCTAGATGGACCAATGATCTGATTCAGTATAAAGGCATCTCCTGAGATTCCTACACTTTGGATTTAAAGAAGGTGGGAGCTCAGGCATGCTCTGCAAAAATGGAGGTGCTTTGGAACATACAGGATGTGGGTGGGTGGGTGAGTTAAGACTGTGGGTTTTGCAAGTGTGGAGAATTTCCCATACCTGCAGAATCCAGAGCCTTGAGGGAAATTTTGTTGTCAGAATTTTTTTGGGGGGGGGTGGATTCATGTGGAAGCCCAGTTGTGATCTGGTAAGAACTGGGTTGTAATAGGAATGCACAGGAAAAATGGAGAGGGTGTGAGGCTGAAAAGGTTTCACTGTGGCTTAGGGATTTGGGTGTCAGTTGTATGCAGGGAAACTTTGGTATAAGCAGGAATGGGCGAAGTACAGCCTTCCAGATGTTTTCATGTTGCAGCTCCTGTTATCCTTCAGTATTGCTTATGCTGGCTAGAGCTCAGGAGAGCTGGCACGTGGCAACATCTGGAGGTGCTGGTACAAACTGCTGTGGTAGCCCATCATTGTGAAAGGTATTGCAATGAGAGGATTGGAAAAGACTATAAGGCCCATCTAGTTTAACCCCCTGCCACCCTGGATTCCGCAGCTGAAGCACTCCTGAGAGATGTCTATCCAATCTCTGTTTAATGGCTTCCAAGGAAAGAGATTTAACCACCTTCTGGGAGAGTCTTTTCCTCAGTTTTCCCCCAATGTTTTCCTCTCAGTACATGGCAGAGTCTGGTGGCATGGAGAATTGGTGTGACTTACTAAGGAGCCAGTATGGCATAGTGGTTTGAGCGTTGGACTATAACTCAGGAGACCAGGGTTCAATTCCCAACCCAGCCATGAAACCCACTGGGTGATCTTGGGCAACGTACGTGCTCTCAGCCTCAGGGGAAGGCAATGGCAAACCTTCTCTGAACAAAACTTGCCAAGAAAACCCCATAATAGATTCAATCATAGGGTCTCCATAAGTTAGAAATGACTTGAAGGCACATAAGAACAACAATAAACTTCAACTAAAGGTTGCTGCTCATCTAATAGGGACCCTGGGGCAAAAGTGGTTGTAACAGAAATTCTAAAAAGTAATAGGGAGGAGTCTAATGTGCATTAGAGGTTTTGAAGTACAGCTTTTAAACAGTTTGTTCCTATTACTCATGGCAGTTTTAATCAGGTAATCCGTTAATCTTACTGGGGATGTTTAGGAACATTAAACATCACCATTAGCACTGCTTATGAAATGGCATGAAAACATGCAAAATTATATTCAAGCTCTCTTATACATTGGCTCTAAAATAAATGTTAAAAGTAACTAGAAAATAGTGCTCATTATCCATACAAAACCTGCAGAGGAACCCGATTCTTGTTTGCTGCATTAATTCAAGTGAGGTAAAAATGATCCCTGTAGCAGTCTAGTGAGAGAGCCAGTGTGGTATAGTGGTTTGAGCATTGGACTAGGACTCTGGAAAACAGTGTTTGAATCCCTGCTTGGCTGTGGAAACCCACGGGGCAAGTCTCACACCCTCAGCTTCAGAGGAAGGAAAGAGCAACCCCTCTGCACAAATTCTGCCGAGAAAACCCCATGATTTTAGAATCACCATCAGTTGGAAATGACTTGAAGGCACACAGCAACAACAGCTACAACAAGCAGCCTATTATTTTAACATGGATGCTGATGAAAAGTCTCTGTCAGCTCCTCTCTGGGCATCTGAAGATGTGGATAATATCCATGAAAGCACATATTAAAACAGATCAGTAAGTCTTTAAAAAGTACTTCTAAATTCCTCTTCCCATACACCCCTTTTTTCCATTTTTTGCTGAGAGAGACTAACATGGCTATTCCTTTGAAAACTGTTGCACTGGATGCTGATGTTTTCTTAGTGTGGTTGCATGTACATATATACGACTTAGTGGAGAAGTCGTGAGATTATTAATACGTGCATCATACCTACAGCCTTTTCTGCAGTGGTTGCTACGTTCCTCCCCAGCAAATGTGATCTTAGCTACCAAATAATCAAAATACTGTTTCTTCACCTAGTCCTGCACTTCCAGATCACACTTACAGTCCCTGTGTGACTCCCAAGTGTGATCCAGCTTTCAGGGTCATCACAGTTCCTTTAACTTGCTGCAGAATGGCCTAATTAGATTAAGTTTGTGAATAAAATAAAGAGAATTTTAGTTATAATGTGGAAACTTAAGGAGAGTAAAAGAAATAAGAGATCAGGGGTTAATTATAGGGTGAAACATCTGCATTGTGAATAGGTGAGGACTGGAGAAGATTTGTGTTGGGAGATGGACAGACAACAATTGGTCATTGCTGGGCAAGGTGTCATACTTGGATGATCTGGATTGCAATAGGGGATAGTTTTTTTTCAATGTCATTTAATCGAGGAAAAAAATATGTCGTCTTTGCGTTGATTTGTAGACCTGAAATACTACCAAGCGACTCCTTTTGGATTGGTCAAGGTATCTTCAGCCTTTGGCCTGTCTTTTGACCAGCCATGATTCACAGCCTCTTCCTGATAAACTCATCTGGAGACATCTTTCTGGAGAAGCACTGGAAAAGCGTTGTCAGCCGCTCAGTTTGTGACTACTTTTTTGAGGCTCAAGAGCAGGCTTCGGAGGCGGAAAACGTGCCCCCTGTGATCCCTACCCCTCACCACTATCTCTTAAGCGTTTATCGACACAAAATCTTCTTTGTGGCTGTCATCCAAACAGAGGTGCCCCCTCTATTTGTCATTGAATTTCTCCACCGGGTTGTGGATACTTTTCAGGTTGGTAAACTTTTTAGCCGTTTTGGATTCATTCATTCAGTTTATTCTCTTAGAAATGAACTGCTGGCTTCCATACCACCTGTGGTCTGCAACATGGCCCCATTTGAAGGAAAGGGGGGAAATAAAAGTTTAAACCTTACAGATTATGCTGGTTTAACTATTGAAACAATGATAAGCAAATATTAAGGGCATCACTACTTTACAATTCAGGGAAACATGACAGCCATTTTAGGCTCATCTGTTTGACTACTCCACAAGGCACTTAACTTGTTATACTACTTGGGACTGATGGTATGGAGAATCCAGATTTTCCACCCAATGCACTAAAAGGTTTTTGGTTAGCACAAGGGAGGAGACAGTGAGGGGGGGAATACCGGTTTGTGTGGCATTCTTCAAAGGGCTTGGCTGATCATGGGACTGAGAGTTTCCCTTCTGGCAACAGGTCAGACTCCATGTGATGCTCAATGTGTCTTTGAATCCTGTGATTGGAATTCTCCCCTCCTTTTCTCTTTATTTTAAAAAGCCCAAGAAGCAAAACAGAAAATAAAAAAGAATAAGAGCCAAGGCTGGGGAGGCCAATCTACATTGGTTGACTGGAGAATACTATTATATTTATTTTTTTAAAAAATACTAAGTCCAGTTTCCAGGCTCTGTCCAAGAGGCCACCCAGAGCAAAAAATTCTAGTTCCACTCCAGCTGGAGTTGTAAGAAACAATGTTGGAATTTGAGCTTGTAACCTGATGAGTGGAGAAATGTCAGAGTTGCTTACCTGGGAGTTCTTTATTATAGATGTGTCTGGTTCCCTCCTCCAGCTCCCTCTGCAGCTTCCTGACAGTTGGAAGCACAGGACTTTTGTTCCTTTTGTTCCTTGGCAGGTGAGGAGGGGGGAAACCCAATTTAACATAGCACATAATCCAAAGCCAAACTGAAATGAAATAAAAAGGGCCAGGTAGTCGTTTGTTTTATAACATTTATCACCCAGCAGGCTTCATGGCTACATGTGTGAATCTGAATTTGGGTCTCCCTGATCCTTGTCTGACACTCCAATTGAGTGTAAGCTACTGACCTCCAGATGTGTTGAACTATAACCTCCCAAATTTCCTTGGGAATTCTGGGAGTTACAGTCCAACACATCTGAAAGGTACCAGATTGGGGAGATTGCACTGTCTGTTTCCAGGTGATTTGTGCCAATGACCACAGCAGTCATTCACCAACTTCCTAGCCATTTTATCTGATCTTGTGTAGAGAAATGCCCACTTAAATTGGCCCAGGACTGTCTATCTCTCATCCAGTTACCTCCAGTGGTATCTCAGATCTACTAGCTGGGCAGCCACCCTGCCTTCCTTTATGATAAAGCTACCTCAGGCTTTTATATTCTCATATTTCTGGGAGCATGTTTCAACTCTGTGAATGGACGGGTTCATCCTGCTGTCCCTCTCCCAGGACTATTTTGGTGTCTGCTCAGAAGTTGTCATCAAGGACAATGTGGTGGTGGTCTATGAAGTGCTAGAAGAGATGCTGGACAATGGATTCCCACTGGCTACTGAATCCAACATCCTGAAGGAGCTGATCAAGCCACCTACTATCCTAAGGACAGTTGTCAACACCATTACAGGTCTGAGAGGGACTGTGTGTGTGTGTGTGTGTATTTGCAGTAGCCCAAGCTTGCATGTTGGGGCCCTCTCCTTTAATATATCTTTTTGAACTACTGTGGGAGTCTGAGAACTTTAGTCAAAAAAAGGAACAACCTCTGATATTTATGTGGCGGTGCTACTGTACTGAGTTCCTAAACAAGGCAAGAGAAAAAGTATCCCCAATATCTGGTATTTAGTGGTAGAATGGCTCTCTTTGTGGAATTGCACTTAGCAACTATTGCTGATAACCATAGCTCTATTTCCAGTATCAATTTGTCAAATTTGAGGCAGGCAAGCAGGAGATGTAAGTTTTCACCTGCCCCTTGGTTTCATTTAAAAAGCCCTCTATACATGATCATGTAGACCTTTAGTGAGGGTGAGCATTTTCTCCCCAGGCAACCTTCTAAGTGAGAAAGGGTTGAGAAGAGAGAAAGAGAGAGAGGAGGGAATGGGCCTGGTCATTTTTTTTTACCCTGACCCTGCCTGCCTCTGACCTCAGGCCCCTGAAGATAATCCGCAAGGGAATGCAGGTCTCAACAGAAAAGAATTTTTTTCTGTCCCTGGTTTAATCCTTTTTTTGAAAGCTATCTAAATTGTTGGCCATTTTCAACTACTTGGCATAGACTTTGAATTGAATGTGCAGGATACACATTAATCTGCTCATGAGTCTTTGTTTATGGGTGCTTTTAAACTCCGCACTAACAAAAGTACTCTGGGCAGCACATGAAACATCAGAAATATAAACTATATAGTTTTCAAAGGGTAGCCATGCCTGTCTGTTGCAGCAAAAAATATTTATTTGTTGCAATAAGAATCCTGAGGCACCTTAAAGTCAAACAAGTTTTAATCTTCACAAGCTTTACATCAATGATGGGCAGATTGTGTCCTGCAGGCTATGGGCAACCCCTGAACCCCACTTTTGTGACCCCCGAAGCCTCCTACCAGTCTCTCAAAGCCCCCCAGCCCCCCAAATTTAAATAAGTTGCTGAGTTTTGCACAATTTTTGCCCTGAACTATGCAGAAAGCCACCCCCATGTGTGAAAACGTTCTTTACTCAGATCTCCACAAACACCCCAGAGCCCCATACTGTTTTTTAAATACCTCCACCTTCCTTTGTAGTCCCTCTAAAAATGGCAAACAGTTGTGATGTGATGTTACTTCCTGTCACCATTTTGAGATGGACTGCAGAGGGAAATGGATGGCTTGCTGTGACAGGTATGGCTGGTGGAGGGAAGGGTGTCTAGGGGCAAAATTGGCCCCTGGCCTCCACTCAGTTGCCCACTCTTGCTTTACATGGATTGCAGCCTAGTTCAGATGCATCCAGGTAGCAATCCATGAATACTTAGGCCAACTAAATTTGTTAGCCTTTAAGGTACCATAACATTTAAAATAAAGAGGAACTGCACACAACAAAACCAAGATACTGTAAAACTAGTAG